TGTTTTTGTCGAAAACTTTTTCTTTTGATGTTTTCTTTTAAGACTTAATACTTAATTGATTTAAATGTAAATAAATGTCAAGTTTTATGCCCATTCGTAATGAATAGAAATTATAATATCAATTACATCACAAAATAGTCTTATATTTGGTGTATGTCTGCAGAATTTAAATGAAAATTCTGTTTATATATTAAATATAAATTTTTCTTTATTTTTCTCTCAAGACTTTTCTGCAGAAAATGTTATGAATTTGAATATAATTTTCATTAGAATATAGCCATAAATCACACGAAATCTCTATAAAAAATCTTTTATACAATTAATAGTAAACGAGTGGTTTATATGGAGATAAAAGTCCGTGATTTCAGCAAAACATTTCTTATTTGAATCAATGAATTAAAGATATAATTTTTGCTTAATGTTAAGATATTAAACTTCAGAGATTTATTAAAGGTTTATGGATTAGTAAGATCACTGCCATAAGATATATTGTCATAAATATATTTAAATAAATATTTAAATACATTTCTGTCAATTGCTTAAATGATATAATTATACTTTTTGCATATGTAAGTTATTAAATATCAGATAACAATTTTAATAAATGTAATATCTTTGCTTGTTTTTTGGTCACCTCTGCCTATATTTAAATTATTAGTATGAACTGGATAAATTTTTATTTGTTGGTAAATGTATGTGAGAACAAAAATTCCGGATTAATATTTAAATCTTTTTTGAATTACATTGAGTTTTTTTATATGACATCAACGTTGAAATACTTATCTCATTTTTTTCACTCATGTATGACTGCACAAATATATCTCCCAGTCCCAACCATGAGCACAATTAATGTATTTTCATATTTCCTGATCTAATCTGCATTTTAATGCTATCTTAACTTAATCTACTGTATGTTTATCCAGCCATACAGAGTTGTGTTTAATATATTAATAAAACCGCAAATGTTTACTTACTTTTTATTATTATTTAAATTATTTTTTGTATTTAATGTAAATTACAAATCTTAACATTTAAAATAAACTCCTATAGAAATAGCATCTTATATCATTTAAAGGGGAATGAATGCTGCCATACCTGTAACATGGACAGGTATATAGGACTGCAATTTACTGTGTGGTATGTTATGTGGTTTTGTCAAATATTGGTTATCTAATCTAATCTATGATGATATTTTTTGCTGATTATTTGCTTATTTTTCGGGTAATTAAAAATAATTTGAAATGATTAACAAGCGTTTATATGAAAACTATTTAAATATTATTTTTTATTGACAAACGAAATAACTATAATAATATAATAATTGAATAATTAAAGAATTTTTATATCTTAATATACAAATAATTTATCTTAACAAATTAAATTTAATCATTTGATAAAATTTTTGGTAAAAATTAAGCAATATAAAATATTTGGTTAATAGGAATAATCGAAGTATTTTTATATAATATATATAATTATTTATAATACTGTATATGTAATTAAAATCTAGACTTTAAAATACAAATATAATTATAATATTTAATATAAATGGATGTGAATGGAGAACAAGTGATGAATATATTTTTTTTGTAGCAAATATGATCTTTAATGTAATGTTCAACTGATTGTAGGGGAACTGTAGTCTCTGGATGTACAGTATTTGTATTCTCTATACTTATTCTCAAGTATGCGTTGATTTGACGCTAACACGAGCTGAGTATTAGTGGTAATGGTTTTAGTCAATGATGTGATTTGTAATGTAATTTTCGGGCCTCTTTTCGCGCAAACTTTTTGCCACAAATATTACACGAAAAACGCTTCTCATTAATGGTTTGATTATCCAAATGTGTCGCCAACTGATGGTGAGATGACTTGAGATGTAGCATAAGATGCGATTCCAGTGGGAATTCTTTGTCACACTCTATGCACTTAAACCTGTCGTTAGCAGCAGTGCTGCTCATGATTTCAGTGTTGGATACCTCGGAGCAGTTGTCGCAATCGATGTCCTCCTCCTCGTCATCGTCGCTCTCCCGGTGCTCAGCCATCGAGTGGTTATCCAATTCCGTGGGAAACCAGAACTTCAGTGAACACTGACCGCACGAAAATGGCCGGTCGTTGAGGTGGTCGTCAAACATGTGGGCCTGAAGTGATTGCGAGCCATTGAATATGGACTGACATAAGTGGCACTTATACTCATCGCCACCATTAAAGTTATGCTCAATCAGATGGGACTGGAGTTTGGCCGGACTATCAAACTCCCTGTCGCACAGCTTGCACTCAATGCTACCCTCGTTGAGCATATGCTGGTGGACGTGGTCTTTGATCTCAGCCTCACTTCTGAACGATTCCTGACATTTGATGCATTGATACCTCTTATTAGTGACCGTCATATCGTCCGCAGATTCTATGCTATTGTTCTCCAATTTAGGCGAAACACCACTTTTATCGGCACTGATGGCTAAGCCTTTTGGGGAATGGCATTCATTTTTAATTGCATTGAGTTTAGACTCCGTGACCACAGGACTGGCAGGACTGGTGGTACCACCGGAATGCTTGTCATTTGCACTGCTGTTATGACTCAATTGAGTGGACAGTTGGTCGCAATGATAGCTCGCATGCATATCAATCTCCACTTCACTCATCAGCGTTTGCTTGCAAATGACACAAACGACTGGAAATAAGGCATTCAATGCGGAGGAATCGGTGGACTTATTGATGTTATTGTGCTCAACAAAGTGTCTCATGTAATCATCTCTGGTATTGATCTTATCGTGACAGTGAAGACATTGCAAGCATTGCGAGGCACCGAATATGCAGTGCTTTTTCAGCTTATGTTCAGCCAATTGACTAATTGATGCAAACAATTCATCGCAAATGTTACACTTATTGCTGCCCTTATTATGATTTGTCAAACCATTGCTACTGATTATGCCATTCACAGCGCTATTACTGACATTGCTATTAGACTTATGCTCGCTATTCATATGAGACTCCAATTCAGACACGCTTTTGAATGTGCTTTTTGAGCAAAACTCACATTTGATCGCTTTTTGCTGTAGTTTTCCGCTCATTTGGCTGATGCCTTGCGACACATCCCTGTCCAAGCAATTAGTTTTGGGCAGTTTGTGATGGTGCGAGTGCTCGATATCGATGTGTCGCTCCAATAGGTACTCGATATTAAACTCTTCGGAACAGTATTTGCAGCGAAAGTAGGCTTTGGAGCCGTAGAGGGGAAAGGCGGCGGCCAGTTGTGGCTGCGGTGGCGATAAGTGCGCGCCGTTTGGCTGGAAGTGAACTATTTTGACGTGAAGTTTGAAGTCGTGCTCACTATTGAAGAATTCGCCGCAAATATTACACTTAAAAATCTTGCATTCGTTGCTGTGTTTGACGGCAAAGTGCACTTGTATTGAGACTTTGCTGTCAAACATATCACGACATAGCGAGCACTGGTAGAGATGGTGCGCGTGAATGTCCATTAAGTGCTTCTGGAGCTCATCCGGTTTGCTGAACATCTTGGTGCAGCACTCGCAGCCATAGTTGGTGGTGACGGTTCCCATGTGACAGTTGATGAGGTGGCTGTCAAAGTCAGTGGTGACGGTTTGGCCGCAATGCGGACATTGAGGCGAATGGGCGGCCAATGATAGGTGGCTATTGTGGTGGGGCGGAGGGGGCGGCTGTTGGGCTATGATATGTGTGTTGATGTGACTCCGGAAGGACTCGAAGTCGTGGAAAGCGGGCGAAGGCGAGCAAAAGTTACACAAAATGGGCAGTTGGGTCGGCTGTGGAGGGGTGGGAGTGGTGGGCGCCACCACTGATTTACTGGTTTTGGCCTTTTTGGGAGATGGAGGCGATGAGGAGCCGTTGGGAATACTGGAGTGCAGTTTCATGAGGTCATTGACGGGGGTCAGTACGGGCGGTATGGGTGGCGGCGGAGGCATCAGCGACGGCCAGTTCCCGATGCCGGCGCTCTGGCAGAAGGAGTTCTGCAGGAGGCCGGCAAACAGGAGGTGATGTAAATGCGTTTGTCTGATGTGTGTCTCAAGTGATGTGCATTTGATTCCGCAGAAACCGCACGTCAACTGTGTTTGTGTGGACTCCGGGTGCGAATCAGGGCTGCTATTATTGGCACTCATTTGGGAGCCGCTTCTGGTGATAGGATCCGGCGATACCTTATTTACATTGGCATTCAAAATAAGCACATTATCAGCAAATACTTTATAAGACATGTACTGATAAAACGCATTCCTATACTACTGTCTATCGATTTTACTGACTGACTAAATATCGCATAACTGAATAAATTTGATAATCAATTTGCAAATCAATAAACTCTTATCAATAAATTTTTTTTAATGAATTTATAGTTTGTGTTTAAAAATCAATCCTAGTATTAATTAAAATACATTTTACTAATAGTATATAGCTATCTAAAAATAATTATAAAACATTTGTAACTAGTGTTAGAAACTTATAGAAAATTGCAAATACCTTATTAGCACTGGTAGTCTCGCCGCGGCTTTCCAGCCTCAGTGAGTTTGTTGTACTTAAAGTAATATTTTTAATATTTTTATTGTCACTATTATTATTAACGATTCCATTGTTGCCATTGATATTACGAGTGGAAGTGTTGCCGTTGTTATTGCCGACAGTATTAATAGTATTATTTCTCTTGTGGTTTTGCATATGACTGGTTAGGGCTGGTGTGGGGACAGGGAGAGAGAACAAGAAATTTTTTAAATAACAAAATACTAAATATTACAGACAATTGCCATTCATTTCTAACTCGAAAAACTTTTCTACAAGTCTTATCGTATAGTATACAAGTAAATACAGTAACATTATATCACATAACGTATTAATAATTCAAATGTAAAATAAATTTTTAGTTTTTCTTATTTTGTTTCACTAAATATATTCATTTTATTAGTGTTTGCGCTCGAAATTCATGCCCTTTTGGTTGAGAAGTAGAAAAAGCAATGACTGTCTGTATATATATATATGAATGTGTTGTGAACATACAGTTCATGCAAAGAGATTATAAAAGTTTTTTCGGTCGGAATTTATATTCACTATATATTTCATGTGCAGAGATATGGTATGTATAATGTAATGGTCTATAAGTGATGGCTGTTTACCTGCAGCGGTATTATAGCCCCGGTTGCAAACGGCGCACTGGAATGGCTTCATCTGGTCGTGCGTTTTCATGTGAATCTTCAAGTGATCGCTGCGTGAAAAGGCTGACTCGCAGTGACAGCACCGATACCTCTTATCGCCTATCCGTTCACATATCCATCCAGAATAGGGCCACAGATTGGAAAGAAAGATTTTCGTTAAGTTTTAGTTTTTATTTCATTTATTTAATGTTAGTTGAAACACGTTTTTATCAATATTTCTGTTATTAATATATAGAGAATCTCTGTTTTATAATTCATTGAGTTTCTAAAGTATTTTCTCAATTAAGTCATTAAACTTAATTGAATTGAATTCTGAGTTATAGAGTAGTCTATAGGAGTGGTGTTAAAGAAGTGCTTATTATATGACTGCGTGGATGTAGTGAATAGTGTGAAGCAATAGATGTCTAGATGTCAACGATGTCAGTGATCGGTGACATACCATACCATGACATACCTGTGTGCAGTTTGACGTGTCGGTCACGACTCCTTTTATGTTTGAAGAGTCGCTGACAATAATCGCACCGAAAGGGCATTTGGTCCGAATGTATCTGAAATGTATAAGAGAGACACAAAAATTCACATCAAAACATACAATCACTGCAACTGTGTTTAGCTGTAAATAAAGTTATTAGCAGTTTGTGCTCAATATATACTGAATGACTGTATGGTATGTATAATATATATTCTGTTTGAGGAGATGGCTATTAGAGTGGATATAACATTCCGGTGCCTCAAAAGCTTCAGTGCCTCAGCATTTTGTGCATAAATATTACGGCATCTATTAAGCGATAGTGTGTTAGTGTTGAGTGAAATGCATTTTGAGAGAGAGAGAGAGAGAGAGAGAGAGAGAGAGCACCAGTAATAGAGAGATCTCAGAGAGATGTCTAAAATTTAGTTTTCAGAGTTTGGCAGCAGATAATTAAGACACACAGAGTACTGGGGCTGAGAGGAGCACCGGCTGTGCACCGGCTTTGGCAGTGTATAAGAGGCAGTGGAGCCCAAGAGCCCATGACTTGTATTGAGACATTTGACGTTGTGTTCAATTCTAGTAATTTTCTTCTCTCTCTGCACTTCTCCTCCGTCTTCTCCCTCTGCCCTATATTTATGCCTTTAATCGGAAACACTACGGGTGGCGGTGGTAGAGGCACCCCGGCCTGCCTCAGGTATAATTGCAGGTGATTTGGGTGGTCTTCCACACAGCCTTTTCCCCCATTCCTCAGCGTTATCAGCGAATGGCTCGTCAATAGCCCTGTGCTGAGCCCCTACAGTCTTCTCTCCTCTTTTTTCTTTCGCTCAGTCAATAGCACTGAACACAACACACAGAATATGTAAGTATAGAGATATTGTGGTCGTGTCTCCCGTTCCCCTTCACTTTCAAGTTCATTAGGCGCTTCTCTTTTGTTGATTTCTTAATCTCGAAACACAGGTATAGCTGTTGTGTAGTGTATTGATGACCACTGTTCCCCTAACCCAAGGACAACGGGCGTACATTGGGTGAGAGCTATCGGTGCTCACAATTGGCAGAGGCTATGAATTAGATGTGTGCACACAAAAGGCATACATACTCTATACGCGAGCACAGGGTTCACTAAAGTTATGTTCATAAAGTTAGGGCTCTATAGTGATATGCCTGGGAGCGGGACAGGTGGACCTACACCACCACCACCATCAGCTTAATAAAGACATCTCCTTTCGCTTCCAACCCATCGCCAATGCATTTGGTGTGGGGTTGGGGTGCGATAGGAAAGCTATGCATAACTATGGGGCCAAACAAACCCTAATATTGCTTTAATACAGATAAAAGTAAAGTACAGTATAGTTAAGCCGTAGTTAAGTTATATGGCTTTATATGCGAGGCTATGACTCGCGGGAGACACTGACACTACGGGTGGGGGACAGATGGGTCGCGCACTGGTGTCCCAAGAGTATTGAGTTAAGGCGAGGCACATGGCCTGCCATTAAACTATTTGACCAGTGAGTGGAGGGGCACTGGCAGGCAATTGCGAGGGACACATACGCATAGACAATGAGATCGACACAAATGCAAACGTATGAATGAATAGATAAATGAATGAATGGAGAAAATCTCTACTCATTAGCCATTTTTCACAAATATTTTACAATGAATTTTAGGGAAAGTTATAGTAATTTGTGTGTGGGGTATGTAGTGAAATATATACTATATATGAATATTTATATACCGGTGCGCTTACCTGTTCGTGGCGTTTCAGGTACGATAGTCTCGGGAATGCTTTATCACAGAAAGTGCACGGGTATGGCGTACCCTCGGTCACGCCAATGGTGTACGAGATTTGTAAGTCATCGATACTGGACGAGGAGGTAGTCTCACTCGACGCCGTCGTTTCGCTGGGACTACACGGAGTGGTCATTCCTATTGGATTCATAAACATATGATATATAGCACCGGGATTTAAAACACCAAAACTTTAAATTTTTTAGACAAATAAATGTTTAAAATGAGACAAACTTTGAGGTTTCAATAATTGAGACTTCATTTCACAAAACACTTCAAAAACAGTATTATATAAAAACTCTTGAATAATGTAATCACAATTACTATCAAACGATCATAACTTCAAACAAATTGAAATTCGACGCAAAACGTTGAGTGAAAATTCATTCAAAAAGTTTAAAAACTTTGCAAAATCTTTGATAAACTTCTCGCTGGAAAACTGGCTTTTGGTTTGTGAGAGAGAGATCTTAAGAGATGTAATAAAACTGAATGCGAGTCATATAATAGTGAGAGAGACAGGACTACTTGAGTTTCAGCACACGAGACTCGTATCCACACTTGACTATGTATTGGACTTGTTTGAGATGATAGCGTAAAGACTCACTCTATTAGATGTTAGCGGGACTTAAACATAGCCCAACCCTCGCACTGCTCTCGAGTTTTGGCTCTGAATTATGGTTTATAGCCAAAGGAACAGTTCGGTCAGTGCTATGGAGTGCGAGAAGGAGGTGGGGGTATCTCTTCCAATGGCTATGGGAGGAGAGACACCACGACCAGAGGCACAGGAACTAACAGACCATCAAAGTGGTGAACCGGTAGTGACCCTTAACTATTGGAATATCGCCAGTCTTTTCACTGGTTTGCCTCTAAGCCTAACCGAGAGTTGATTTTAAACTATTTGATAAATCATTAGTTATCGCACACAACAGACAGTGAACACTATTTCTGTATTATATACGAGAATGTCTAATGGCTTAGGGATGGCAGGCCGTGGGTCTAAACCCTAAGCCCAAACAATTGGTGCAGTCCTGCCATCACATCTCCTACAGTGAGTTGTCTGATGACCCAAACTCAAGCCTCTCCCCCACCCTCTCTCTCTCTCTCTCTCTCTCTCTCTCTCTGAGGCCGTATTTGCGAGGCATAGGCTCTCCTCCACTGTCGACTAAATATCTCAATCTGTGGTTCAAGTCAACTGTGATTGACATTGAATTGTGGGTGCGGTGGTGAATGGCACTGGCTTTAGATGCGCTTTAGATGCACACCACCAACACATCCAACACACACACAAGAATAGAGTTACCACTGGTTTTGCCTTTCCATACAAAAGTCAAAATACAGAGAATACAATAAGTGTAACAACACCTGGACATCAACTGAACCCCATCCCTATCCCATATGCACTATCCCTATCGCTAAGAACAGTATCGCGTTTGGCATTCAATGGCATTCATTTGCCACTCACAGTCTCTCTCTATCAGTACTGAATGGTCTGTGTTTTGGGCAAAAATCCAATTTAATTAAAGTCAGAATAATAATGAAAAGCCTGAAGCCATGCATCGTATGGTTTGCGTGCATCTGAGGGCTGACCCCATCGCTCGGCACACATCGGCTCCAAAGCGGACAGAGATTACAGCGAATGAAGTGAAGCGCTGGTGTGTCAGTGAATTGGATGCTATCAGCTGTATATACAATGCCTGCGCTCTGTATATCTGTGTATGGAGTCACTGACCACCCGTCAAGACTACATCAAAGGGTCAAATCAGCGATTGTTTATATTTGGGACTCAATTTACAAACAGACAGTCAAACAGTCAAACGCTTCCCAAACTAATAATGATAACAAAGCCATCGCTGAAACACTTGCAATGATTGCATTCATAGCCGGGGAAGAGTGAGACGAGGAGACCATCAAATGGACTGTCATTTCTGTGAATAATGATAATGAATGCCACGAATGGCAGGAGATATGCGATGAAAAGAGTGCCACAAAACACTGGAATCGAGAAATAGATTTGAGTTTTCGTTTTTTGTCGACAATTATTTTGCTTCGATTCACAAAACAGTCTATTCTTTGGATCCGAGGACTCTTTGCACTGAAAAATCTTTCAGTAAATCTGCAAAAAATAGTCCTAAAAAACAAGTAAAAAAGAGACAACACTTAAGGGTCGCAAACAAATGCCAAAAATGCCATAAAAATGTGTTTAAGTCTCAAAGAGAGCACCAAATGGCAGGCCATGGCTGGCGGCTAGTGATGGCAAGCGATGCCATGGCTTAGGTATATATATCAGCAGTCGAGCGATTGGGTGCAGCGACTGGTCGACGGTCCTGATGCCACAACCTGTGCCAACAACTGAGCCTTAGATGAGGCAAACACTTATCAAAAAATATTGGTTTCCGGCCATTATATGAGATTCGCAACACTGATATCGCCCTCAAAGAAGCCCTTATTACAAATGGATGGCTATTATTAAAGTTTATGATACACTATCACTATCACCAACCAGTCCTCACCTTACATCACCTCTCTCTCTCTCTCTCTCTCTCTCGCTCTCTTCTCTCTCTCTCTCCCCTCTAAATCTGTTACAGCCAACGAACTCTTTAGCACTAATTATGATCAACTTTTTAAGAAAAAATATAATTTAGTTTTAGATCGTCGTCTAAATCCAGTTATGATTTCTCATCTTTTAATGCATATCATATAGGAGTTGAGAGAGAGAGAGAGAGAGAGAGAGAGAGAGAGAGAGAGTTAGGGGACAGATTAGGAGAAGGCAGTGGTGTGCGTGCAATGGGGATGGCGTGTCGATGTCGTGTCAGGAGTCAAGAGATGACACTAAGACAAAAACCGAGTGCTCAGCGAACAAAAAAAGAGGACTCTTTGAATGCCAGCAAAGTTTAAAGACCTGTTGCACTGTCTCTCTGGCAGTGGTGTTACGATTAGAGCCAAACCATTGTTACTATTGTTAACTGGAGTCCAAACTCTAGTTGTCGTGTCGTGTCTTGGATTGTCAGCCCATATCGAGTGCACGCAAACAACGACTACATAACCAAATGTTTGGTTTTGAAAATACAAACTTTTGAAATAATACGAATACAAATAACAAAACAAAAGTCATTGTAATTAAACACATTATATGAATGGCCTGTCGCCTCATAAACGGGGTTAAAGGCAGACAATTATACAAACGAGAAAATGGGTGCAAAACAAAACAATAATTGTTCCGCGAATTAATTATTACTGGAAAACCACACAAATATGTTTGGACAGGGAAGGGATGGGATGATGTTAATTAAAAAAATAGTAATACCAGCGCTGAGCGCATCTCAAGCATGCATGACATCCGAGGGAATCACTCGTCAACTCATTCATTGTCATTACATTTGATATCAAATATAACTCATAGATAGGGAGAGAGAGAGAGAGAGAGAGAGAGAGAGAGAGAAAGAGAGACTCTATTTGTGATTAAATACGAAATCATACGAAATGAGTGTTGAGTGGTGTTTGAGTTCCGGGTGAGGACTCGGATCATATTTAAAGTGGAAAAAATTGATTTTTGGCGAAAGAAATAATTTGACAGGAAGTGAATGGAGAGTTAGTTTGATTCACTCGGTTATGGCAGTGGATATTGTGTTGTTATAATAGCTCGGCTTGTAATCGATGTGCGAGTAATTGTAATACCGATTGATATGGCCTTACAATCAGAGAAGGAGTGACTCAAATGATAGCCTTTTTTGAATGAATTGTTATTTTTGTAAAAAAAAGTGAACCAAAGAGGAGAGAGAGAGAGAGAGAGAGAGAGAGACTCCTGTGCGCTGTGAAGACTCCTTTGATTTCTAGTGATTCTCTCTCTTCGAGTGATTCTAATTCTCGTGAATGTAGTCAATGATGGCTTCAGATCAATGAAGGAGAACACATGCAATGCACACCTCATGCATGACTGATCCTTATAAGTAGTGAACCACTGCTACCACTGCCTATGAAACTGACCCTAAATTATATGGTAGGCGACGATGACTTTGCATTCATAGAGAGAATGTCTATTCACTGCCTCTTTCTCTCTCTTAGATCATCATATCGTTGCAAATGATAAAACCATTTCTCAATTTTGCCTCTTTTTTCTGTCACAATAACTAGAAAAAAATAAGTTATAAAAAGAAATATAACTAAACATTGAATTCCTTATGTTTAACGTATGCGTGGGAATCATATCTACCGTTAATTAGGAATCCATTGAATCACATTTGAATTTTCAGAAATCATTAAACAGTATCAAACATAGAGTTTGTGTATATTTTTAGAAATTAATATCAGACGCCATTAATTGTAGACTAAAACAAAAAAGCTAAAGTTGTATTCATTATATTTGATTGAGTTTTACACACAAAGACTAAATGGACTGTTAGGTCAACTCATAAACGATACCATTGAATGCCGTGAGAGAGAGGGAGAGAGAGAGAGAGAGAGCAATTTAGGAGCTAGTACGGTTGTATGTTATTGTAGTGTATGTGTTCTCATCAGTTGTTTAAACCCAATAGTGAAGTTTGGCAACACTCTAATGAGGCTCTCGGGTAAATACAGTGCCTTCGAGTTGCACCCAAAGGTATTGGAGATGTCCTACCAATTGGTTGCGTCAGAGAGTTCTCTACAGCACCAGAAGATATGTAATACTGGAATCGTTGGCAACGAAGAAACAGATACTCAAGAGATTTAGACACAAACTAATTCTCTTCACTCTCTTCTTCTTTTCATTTAATATCTTAGGCTTAAAGTGGACTTTACTTTCACTTTACTTACGAGAATAAGTGTGTGTGTGTGTGTGTGTGAGAGAGAGAGAGAGAGAGAGAGAGAGAGAGAACCTAAGATATTAAATGAAAAGAAGAAGAGAGTGAAGAGAGAGAGAGAGAGTGACTGAACACAGTTTTACTCAAAAAGTGATAATAATAATAGTGAACATTACCTTCACTTGACTTATACTAACACCGCATTCACTGTGGAGTAAAAACATAACACAATTCCTGACAAAACATTTTTTCACACAAAAACACACCATTCAATGCATTTTGAATTTACTCTCAAATAGTTTTATAAAGACATGTTTGCCTCGAAATTGGCGTAAAGTATTGTAAAATAAAAAAAAGTGTTTTGTGTGTTGTATCAAGATTAAAATGAAGTCATTAAATCAATCACCTGACTCGGGCTGGAGTAGAAGGTCTGACGGTTGGTTGGGAGGCTGGTATGGTAGCTGCCGTGGTGTGTGTGCTGCCGGTGCCAGATGATGATCACCATAAGCCGGCGCTACGATAATGAAGCTGTCGTTCTGTGCTTTTGGTCGCAAATAGAGAGACAGAGATATGGCATGAGTTTGTGTGCTGTGTATGAATGCACTGGAAAAGTATTGATCAGTTGTTGGTTTTGAAGGGCAACGGGTGGTCAGCCAGTGGTGGAGCTCAGCGCCAGCACCCAGTAAGCGGTCTAAGCGCTGGTGACCAGCGGGAGGGCAGTTCGCAGCGGGTTAGGCATCGCAGCGAATCCCTACAGGAATCGCTGACTCAAAGGGGAGTCTTAGCCGTAACTGTACTTAAGCTGTGCCTTAATTTCACTTCGCTTTTGGAGTTTTAGTAATTTTCGAGCGAAAAGTTTTTACTATATTTTTCTCGATCTGGTGTTAGTGTGTGTTCACTGGCTTTCCTAAGACACTGGTGAGTATATAGTGAGTGCCTGTATGTGAAACACACAGTATGGATAAGATTCGCTATATATGTATGTAATGGCATCACATGTATGGCAATCGCCAGAGAATATAAGTTTATATAAAAGTTAAGATAAATTCAAGAGCTTTTGTTGTGCTAACATCTAAAGCCTTAGCGAATGGAGTATAGCTTTGAGAGAAAGGGATGCATCACATCCACTAAAATATGCATAATATGGTTGTGCACTCACTATCCCGAGGGGTTCGTCACATCGAGACTGAAAATTTGCTCAAAACTTTTAAGGCAGGAAAGGGAACAATATTTGCAATGCCATCCATAATATACTCCACACTTTGATGGCATTTGGAGACTCATCTCCAAGAGCTTTGCAATTATATGGCATAACGTAGAGCACACCTAACCGTTGCATATAATCTGATGCTCTAATCGAAACATGTATGAGGTTTGAGGCGTTATACTACTAAATCTGTATGTATTAGTGTATTAGCGCTCAACTACTACAGTATGCTATACTCTAACTCCTCTAAGCATCGCTACTCTAAATTGCAATACTCTCTCAACACCAATACATGAACTCAATATTACTTCCTTGTGAATAATGAGAGAGAGAGAGAGAGAGAGAGAGAGAGAGAGAGAGAGAGAGAGAATGCCTCGCAACATATTCTGACAGAATATATGCACTTATAGTATATGTCTCTGTCGTCTCGCTCTCTCTCTCTCTCTCTCTCTCTCTCTCTCTCACTGTTTCAGAGCTTTTATTTATTGTACTCTTTATGTGTGTCTGCGAGAGAAAGCTTGGAGAGAGAATTAGGGAGAAAAGTAAAGAGAGAGTCAAAACTCTTTGAATCCCATGGGATGAGATGGAAAACTGCATATCTTATCCTCGCAAAAAAGTTGGAGAATTTATTTATTAAACACATATCTATGAGCGAGTCATTTGGGAAATGGTTGCCAACGGATACCATAGAAATGAAAACGCGTGGCACTCATAGGTATGTCTCAATAGTGGCAAAACACATGCAAATTATATGACAGAATTTCGACGAAAAGCCTATTCCCTTGGGCTCCCAGAGATCTCTATGTATGGATTTTTGTGCCGCAAATGCCATCCATGCATAAGACCTGAGCACTGAGTGCTACACATCTCTCGGTTGTGTGTCTCAGAGACACTGTCTGTACGTCTCAGCACTGCATCGACTTATGTGTGACTTATTTCAGCCAACATTTCCACTCATTGCTAACCTATGAGACAAGACATTGCGGTTTGCATTTTAATACCCATTCCCGCAATCAATCTCTTACTTCCAACGCGTCTACTGTCCAACACATACACACTCTTTACATAAGTAACACATTTATGGCAATTATTCTGCCAATACTAATGACTCGTAAAAATGTTTGGCATTTATGATTGCGAGCTTTAAATTGCAAGCGAGCTATTCGTACAGAATATTCTGTGATTTATAACAAATACCAATAAATAGGCACCAATAAAATAATCACTAAAATACATATAATTCATTAATTTTTTAGTCGAGAAAGACTTTTATTTTTGTCTCATCTTTTGAGGTCAAAGTAATAAAAGAGATGACAGAATAGGGAGAGAAGAGAAAGACATTTATTTTTAAAGACACGTTAATTATATGTTGTCATGAGATCTAAATTAAAGGTAATATAAACTCTTATAGAAATAATATTGTCAACTATTTTCAGGGCACTATTAAATTACAAGCGATTTTCGAAAAATTTTGTTTTCTATTCGAGACTTTTAAATAATAAACTAAAAAATATTGAATCCTTAAAAACAGAGTTAACGAAAGCGAAAGCGAAATCAAATTTAAGACATAAATATTAAAAGAAATCGCAAATCAGTGATATATTCGTGTATGAGTTATATATGTGTAGTATATATCATATTATATCTTACAATAAAAACTATGTCTCACATCAGTTATCACTTATCACTTGAGCTGAGGATAAATGAGCGCAGAGAGAGAGAGAGAGAGAGAGAGAGAGAGAGAGAGAGAGACTGGTGTGAGAGGGAGTGGGTGTTAACACATATATCATATCATATAATGTTGGAAAAGGTGTGAAACACACTAATATGAGGCAAAATAGCGATTCATTAATAATATTTTTTGAGCAGAATTTTGAATATTCTTCAAACGAAATATGAATTTTTGTTTTTAACTCTCTTTACGTTTTTCCCTAATTCTATAGTGAATTAAAAAAAAGTATTGAAAAGTAGAGTAAAATTATATATATGTATAAAAAAATTCTCTACAAATGAAGAGAACTGTGTATTGGATGCATACACACACACTCGTCGGAAAGGCAGTACAAAATTATGATTTCCCAAAAGGTAAGGCCTGTATGTATGTGCATATCTGCAAAGCTTTTTTCGCGGCCCTAAACTCCAGTACTGCTGCTTAAGAGTGATAACAAGCCAACCAATTCGCCCGGGAATCACACTTTTACTACTCTCTCGTTCCTCACAGAGTCTCTCCTTTTTCTCCTTTTTTACAAAAATATTTTTTCAAAAAAATGATGAAAATTACGAATCGATAAATAGTCGGCTAAGAAATGATCACTCAGTTTATGCATAATATTATGGCAGAGAGTTGTATAACACGAGAGATACATTTGTACACTATTTGTCGTTATATAACATAGCACTGAACGCACAATATGTATGTATGTATGTAGTTGTGGTGAAAAACCAGTTTTTCATTATAATTTAGATAAATATTGACTAGAAATCTAATTTTTTGTGAGAATATTTTAAATGTTTGACACTTTATGCAAATTCTGTGCACACATAATATACATATTCTGATATAATGTAGGAATTTATTTGTGTCTTTCATACCCCTATGGTTATGGTTTGGGCGCTCATCCAGACGCTCATCACTCGACAGGAGTTGTCGTTGAAGTTGTGAACGAGTTTTGGTTTGTCGTTGCGGTGGTGGTGTCGTCGACGATGGATGCGTTGATGAATCAGATAAATCAGGTGATGAGGCAGTGATTACGAGCTGGCCGTCCATTAACTCGTTTACGTTCTCATCGTTTTCGTCGTCACTCGAAGATAAGGGAACGACGACGTGATGTAATTCTGGATCAGTTTTGTATACACAAGACATTAGCCAATCGAGTGGACAGTTAGGCATAGAGTGTGAATGCATTTATATGGATGAGAGGAAAGGGAGAGAGAGAGAGAGGTAGAGAGAGAGAGAGAGAGAGAGAGACTCATTTAAATGGTAAGCAAAGTCTCTTATTAATGAAAACTGCATTCAATTCCCAGTCTTTATCATTAGTTTTTGTCGGTTTAATAAAAGGCAATAAAAGATTAAAATAAATGGCAGTAAAAGCTAAATGTTTGCTTACGTTTGAAGGCACGCGGTTTGGCCTGTTTTCTACGTCTGGCAGTTGGCGTTGAACTCTCATTAACAGTCAGAGCCGATGGTGGTGTGTGTGGTGTCGGTGCGGTTGGTGTCACTCCGTAGTCATATATCACAGACTCGCTATCGGACATCGCTTTGTATATACACTCCACTGTTGTTTGGGTTATGATTTGCAGTTAATGTTCAGTCACTGTCTCACTGACTATTAGGGGGAATGGTGTGTATATTCTGGCGATTCTCCGGTAGGCGATCACCGGGATTGGCGAAAGTGATTCATATACACAACATGGAAAGGCATGTCTCGCTGGCGATCAACTGCTATAAGCAATGCATATCTCGTAGAGGAATACCGAAGCGCTGAATGCCATACGAAAAGTAACCACGAATTTTGACGTCATGTGAGCGCAGCATCGATACTGAGCTACAGTTCCTCAGCGCCAGAGCACCAGCGACTGTGGCAATCGTCGTCGCAATAGTTGCTATAATACCGACACAAACACCAAAAGCACACTGAAGTCGAAAGTCTGGGCTCCAAATGCGTTGCCATCGCATGCAATGTCTATGTTGTATGCGATGGATGTGCTGCTGGAGCTGCCAGAGTATAGCCACTGTTGTGTGTGTTTTGCAGTACAGGCGCTCTCTCTTCTCCTCATACACTGATCCTCTCAGGGATTCTAGCGTTGGATTCCCAGAGGAATGCATTCCTTTATGCCATCAAAATCAGTGCATCAGTTCATGTGCCCAACCATTGCTGAGCCATAGTATGGCTATCGCTGTGGCAGTACTTCTTCACCCTCTCCTTCACTCTTAACATAAAATTACTTTTATTTCGTTTCGATTCCATATAAGCCTTCTTTAGCGCTATTTTTGTCTTTATTCTGCTCTCTCTCTCTCTCTCTCTCTCTCTCTCTCTCTCTTTCTCTCTTTCTTTCTTTCTGTCTTTCCCTTTGTCTATAGATTGTCATTCCGTTGGGTCGTAGGCTCGCAATCCCTGACTGGCTGTCCATCTGAACAAAAATAAGTGGAACTGATCTGATGGATGTGACAGAGTATTCGCACTAATCTTAAGTGGACAGACAGTACAGTCAGTGAAATAGTATATATCACCTGTTGTAGGCTTTAAAGCAGTTAAGCATTTATCCTATTTTGTCAAATCTAGTCATTCACTGCCAAACACAGTGTGTTAGAGAAGAGGTTAACGAATAAAATAGACCACAAAACTGATGAATGATTCGTTTTGCTGGATAACTGTTTACTCAATTCAAGGCACCACTCGATTATTGATTAGTATGTATCGACAAAAACAAATAAAGCATTTTCTGTGCAAAACTCGTAACTCAGTCATCAATTTTTAATGACTAGAATCTAATTATGTGAATAAATTCTGGAATTAAACTCTGTCGCAATCCATTCAATGCTAACATCAAATTAAACTCAATATATCGTATTATTATGAAACCATAGCTAAGATTTGATTAATGAATTTCGTGTCAAGAAGTTTAGATTAAGAAATGTATAATCGTTTAGGAATTGAAATTTGCTTTAAGTTTAGTGAATGGAAATTGTAAAACAAATAAAAGAAAATAAAATATATACTAGAAACAAATATTCAGAGAGAGAGAGAGAGAGAGAGAGAGAGACTACTATAATTGTATTAAAATTTGAGAGAAAACTCTTGTATTTTTGTTGAACTCTTTTATTTGCTTAAAGAAAACTAAACCCATTGTCAACACAATTGTGAGACATTTTTGCAAAATAGTGGTACTATTTGTAGTGTAATATTCCTCTTATGCTAACGTCTACTCCCTTCGGCATCGGAACTAATGCTGAGTGAATGCACCGAATATTTCGGACAAAGTTTTCACATACATTAGGGATTTGTCCTAATGTTAAGGGATTGGGATTTGTTGTCAAAACTTATATAATGCAACGTAAAAGCTTTACTTCAAAAGTGAAGTTTCACTTATTTTCTGTGCCGCACATCCAGTATATACTTATACACGAGACTTGAATGCACTACAAAAAGCTAAGCAACAAAAAAAGTGGTCCTCAGTCTAAAAGTCTATACTCTTAATATTGAGAAAACATTTTTAAAAATTCAGTTCATATAAGATTTGAGTGGTTTTTCGCTGCGCTGGAGTTATCACAAGTCAAAACCAGTACCACATCCATACACTCGCATCCACTCCAACCTACTATATAATACACTCAACACTAGTGGAAAGGTGTGTAGAGACCTATCCACTGCTCGCACACAGCAAATGAATTATAGAAATAAATGTTTTTAAATTATAAATAATGTTTGTCCAGTGATTATCATGTGTGTGTGTATTTGGGGGGAACAGTATCTCTATATATATACGGGAGTTCTCATGACGCACCTGTACTTACCATCGGATTGTCGACATAGAGAAAAAAGTTTAAGAATAGGAATCGCTTTTAATTAATCACGCGATGGATGGCTCCGTCAGTCATCGCCGATAATTGCAGCGAATTAGAGGACTCCGTCGTCTTCTCCCACAAACTTAAGATAAGGGATCTAATGATGGTATGAATGGCTCATAACAATCGCACAATTGCTGAACACAACTGAGAGAAATATAATTACATTAATTACAAACGCATTCATAAAAACGTTTCCATTTAAAGGCATTCAGAGATTTGTCATACAATTCATTGTCGCACTCGTGAATGGCTGTACAAATAGCGTCCGAAACTAATTAAACGCTATATTTATACGTGAATACGATATACAAATTGCTAGTGAATTATAATTTGCGATTAACTGCGCCGACTGTTATAAATGTTATTTTGGGAAAACAGTTGTATGAAAAAAAACTTTTTATTTTGTAATTTTCTGTTATGAATACTTGTGTTACAAAATCCAAAGTCACGAATAGTGATGAGAAGTTTGATATCCCATTCTTATATCACTCTTGTATATTCATGTATTGAATAAAAATGTGTTTACAATCAAAGCGTTTAATTGAAAAATGATTGCTTAACATTAGAAAAAATCTCTCAAATATTGTTTATTTGGTGAAAATTATATGACAGGCTTGATCATTAAAACTAAAACGGCCGGACCTACTGTCAAACTGGTGGTGCGGATCATTAATTACAGTATCAAGTCTTTGGGACTCATCTGCGAAACTCATCGAAATAACTCGTCTGTTGGGAGAGAGAGAGCCAGAGAGAGAGAGAGAGAGAGAGAGAGAGAGAGAGACGGGTCTTAATCGTAGATTTAATTAAAAAATAAAACTTATCTTCAAAATTGATGGCAACCTTATAATTGTGCGCTTAAGACAATACACACGTCTCTAAGGGCACACCGTTTTGACAATCAATTCACTGATAAAAAATAAACTTAACATTAAAAGTGTAATTAAAGCATAAGATCTATAGATTTGAATATCACTAAAGATTGTATTTTCAGCATAAGTTTAATCATATTTATGAATGGAATGAATGTATGGGTCAATGACTCTGGGATTGCAATGTAATGAGTGGTATGTATGAAGTGAACGACTGTTTGCCAGTTTTGGTCACTTCGTCGGTATATTAGTGCCAAATCACTGACAATTGGCTGCCAATGAATGCCAACAACTTTTGATAGCCATTTGAATTGAGTCCAAAATAATTATATTTTATTCTTGGTAGTCACTACAATTACTTCACAAAAGCTTTATATAAAAAATGATTTATTTTTGAAATTAAAAGTTGGATTTTTCTCAAACTTATATAATGCAACGTAAAAGCTTTACTTCAAAAGTGAAGTTTCACTTATTTTCTGTGCCGCACATCCAGTATATACTTATACACGAGACTTGAATGCACTACAAAAAGCTAAGCAACAAAAAAGTGGTCCTCAGTCTAAAAGTCTGTACTCTTTATATTGAGAAAACATTTTTAAAAATTCAGTTCATATAAGATTTGAGTGGTTTTTCGCTGCGCTGGAGTTATCACAAGCCAAAACCAGTACCACATCCATATACTCGCATCCACTCCAACCTACTATACAATACACTCAACACTAGTGGAAAGGTGTGTAGAGACCTATCCACTGCTCGTACACAGCAAATGAATTATAGAAATAAATGTTTTTAAATTATAAATAATGTTTGTCCAGTGATTATCATGTGTGTGTGTATTTGGGGGGCACAGTATCTCTATATATACGGAGTTCTCATGACGCACCTGTACTTACCATCGGATTGTCGACATAGAGAAAAAAGTTTAAGAATAGGAATCGCTTTTAATTAATCACGCGATGGATGGCTCCGTCAGTCATCGCCGATAATTGCAG